GGGTTATATTTTTCATTGGTTAGATCTTTCATTATTTTACTTTTATTCATTATTTTTATGTAATTTCTTAGTTTTCCTGGTGTTTTTAAACTCTATGAAAGATGGTTTTAAACAGTTTTCCTGTCTTCTTGCAGCTCAGCCGATTGCATCAAAGCTTGATGAAGGCTGGTGGGCGTATAAGGACGCGGTCCAGGGAAGCTTTGTTCCAGGTAACAGATCGTCACCTGTCTGACACTCAGCACTCTGTGTTTACAGTCTCCACGCAGATACACAGACAACCATTAGTCTGTTACTGTTGTCTGGTTTCTCGTATTTTAATGTTAGATATTAAATAGAAATTGCAGTATTTGCAAAGAAAGAAACAAACAATCAACAAAATAACATACAACGGTTTGGTCAATTAAACAACAACAAAGCAAACACCAAATGTTGTATAAGTAGAATTTTTAAAAATTGATTAGGACAACATCCCTAAGTAAAGTTTAAGTTCATAAAAACTTACTTGTTTTGATGCTTCAGCAACAACAATTCTCAATGACTTTGGTTTGACTGTTTTATTTTTCTGCCAAAAGCGGAACTTATAAATGTGTTTTTTACTCTGATGTCAGCTTCCCTTAACTGTCTCTGATGTTATTTTGGTTCCCAAAGGGGGAACAGGGCCCCACTGTTGGTTGCAAAACATCAGATTGAAGGTCCTGTAATGAGCTCCAGAAATCAAATAAAACTGACATTGCATTTCCTGTGAAAATTCTGTATGACTGAGAAATACTTTACTGAAATTTTCTTAAGAAACCTAAATTAACTGTTTGTTGAAAAATAAAAAGCTAAATTTAGCAAAACAGTAGCCAAAACTAACAATGTAGTAATAAAACACTAGCTAAAAGCTAAAACAAGCCGACCATTAGCTCAAAGTTATAAATTAAGCAAATATACTGAAATAGATTTCAAACATAAAACAATACACATTTTTAGACTTTGTCTATAATTTCAGGAGTTCTCCATTAATTTGTATGAGAAAAAAATAAATGAAGTTTAATAATTCTGAAAATATACAGTAAAAAACAAAAATGAAAAGTCATATGAATGGTTAAAATACCTGAAAGTAAGCTGAAGTAGTTAACAAAATTAAAAAATAAAATGTCTGCAAGAACCTATAGAAAGAAAACAATAGTGTGACAGCTCACTCAGCATTTACGCAGTTAAACAATATTTTCATCTTGTATACTTTATATTTGTTACAACAACTAGCAATAGCCATAAATTGGAAAAAAAATAAGCACAATATGAATTTCTACTGTTTGTGTCGTCATTTTAGCATTTTTTACTATTTTTTGTAATGAATTTGAAGGAACCTCTGATTTAACACTTTAGAAAATACTGCTCTAAATTAATTTATGCTGTGTTCACACCGAATGCGATTTCAGCTTCAAAATCGCAGCCAACGCTGAAGTTTGAAGCTTGTGCACTTTGAGGTCAGACGCAGGTCAGCTCTTGAAGCGCTGCACGGTAACAGCCTCCC